ATAGTCAGATCGTAGGTCAAAACCAGGGGTGCAGCTGATGGACCAGAGAAGCAAAGATGCTCCATTTCCCTCAAAAAACACCCCATTGTTTCTGCACAGCAGCAAAGCCAACCAGGGACTCACCAGGTCCTGGCTGGGGAAGAGAGAGCTCAGCTGTTACAGGCATTGAAGTCAGGAAACGGGACCCCAGGTAAGCTTTGAAGAGATGGGCGGATAGTTCTAGACTTTTTCAAAATTTTGCTTCAGCAGAGAACATTCCTTTGTAACTCCTGTGTTTCTAGTTGGTGAAGTAGGCTGGAGCTTTTGCCAAAGATCAACTCCAACGCCTCAAGGTGTAAACTTCTAGAGACAGGGATTCCGGGATTTTTCTTTTGTTGTGTGCAGAGTTCCTTGTCGTTTGCCTTTCTCTTTGTTTTGACCAGGCAGAGGAAAATAATGTATGCCCGCAGCACCCCTTGCAGCAGATCGAGTCGCGGCTCCCTGCCGTCCCTGCTGCTCTCACTGAAGTGCCTGTAACGTAGCCTCACCTGCCGGGACTGTTGGCTTTGCTGCAGTGCACAAATATGGTAATTTTTAATGGAAATGGGGCAGCTTTGCCACTCTGGTCCATCAAGGGCACCTGTGGGCTTCAGTCACATGCCCACCCCTTCTGGTGACTTGGCAGTGCCCACCATGACAGTGGACAGTGTTTTTTTCCCTTCCCCATTGAAGGGCTCAGCCCAAAGCTTGCCTTAGCCAATGGGATGAGAATGGAGTGAGAGCCACTCCTGATGGCCTTTGTCCTCCTGTCTTCTGACATTCCCAGGGCCATCGCTGTCCATTTGGCCTGAGCCTCAGTGGACTTCGGGCCCTCAGTGTGCATGACTTCAGGTGGCTCTAGCTGTCAGCCACCAATTTATTCTGGCTGAGGCCAAGTGGAGCAGAGATGAGCTGTCCCCACCTAGCCCTACTGAAATAAATGTCAGCAAAATAAACATTGCCCTTGTGAAGTTAGGGGGTCACTTGTTACAGAGCCCTGGGGACTGCAGCAGCCTGGCTTCTCTCTGGCCTTCCATGATGCTCACTGCCCTTGGTTATCTCCCTACCTCATGGACTCGTCCTCTTTCATCTCTTCTGTGGGATCCTCCTGCCCCGAGTACCCCTCAAATGTGCTGGACCCCAAGTCTAACGTCACTTCTCTTTCTACCTCACCTGCCTCTCCCTTTGGGATTTCATTGGCTCTCTTGGCTCAAAGTACCATCTATGTACACGTTTGGTGCAGACTTCTTACCCAAGCTTCCTAGACATCTCCACTGGAGCTCACAGTTCCCCGGAGTCTGAGCATTGGCTCATTGCCTTCCTTCTAAGCCCTTTCTTCCTTCTAAATTCTCAGTCCACCTGTCCTGTGCTAGATGTGCCTCCCTCTCTATCACATCCTGCATGGAACTGATTGCCAACTGGTAATTATGGTATTGCCCTAAAATTGCTTGAATCTGTTCCACCCACTGATTTAGGCTCCTATCATCTCTTAACAGCAGCTGCTGTAGTCCTCACTGTTCCAATAACAATCTCAAAACTGAAGTGGCTTAACACAGGGAAAATGTGTTTCCCATTCATGCTGGCATAGGATGGTCTTCAATATGGTGGTTCAGGGGCCCAGGCTTCTTCCATGTTGTGGCTCCATCCCAGCATCCTCCACTGGATCCTCTGTCTCCAGCTGGGAGACAGAGAAGAGCTTGGAGTTTCTCTCAGGAGCTTTTAGGGCCCAGGCCTGGAAGTGGCCATATCACTCTGGCTAATGATCCATTGGCCAGAACTAATCACATGACCTTGCCTAGAGTCAAGGGGTGCTGGGAAATGTTGTCTGGTGGGGGAGTGGAGAGGAGCCCAGGAAAGAGAGGAACAAGGGATTTAGAGGCCACTGGCAGTCTCTGTTAACCAAGTTCACTGCTCTACAGAGTGACTCATGTTCAGTGCCAGGATGGACAGGACACCCTTCTGCTTAGAATCCTGCAGTGGCTCCCTTATCACTTGCCATGCACTGACCCAGGTCCTTAAAATGGCATCCAGAGTCCCTTTCTACTCATTTCCTGCCACTTCCTGTCTCTGTTTTATGGGACAGCAGTACCCACACATCCCACCCACCCTGTGTGTGTGTGCCTCTCAGCCTCTCTTCCCCCGCACCTACTATGGCCACACTCCGACCTGCGCTAGGGACTCAGCCCTGCTCCTGGTGGTCTCTGCTACACGACTCACCCTCATTCCTGGTGCCCCCAGCTCAATCACTGTACCTGGGACCTCATCTTAGGCGCTGATCGTGATTCTGTCCCTCTGTCCACACTGAGAGCTCCTGCAAGGCAAGAATGGCATGTATTTCTCTCACGCTTCCTTGCTGAGTGCTCAGCACATACAAACTACTTGTAAAATGTTGATGGGCTGAAAGGATGGGTGAGCTGCTTTGTCTCTTGCAGAAGGAAAATCGTGCCAGCCTGTCCAATCAAGGTGCCTGCTGGACCCAGGCTCCCCGGCCAGGGCCACAGCGGCATAGCTCCTGCTGAGGGCAAGGTCTGACAAGATGCTCATGAGAAGGGACCAGCGACCCAGGAGATTCTGTCCCCATAATCTGAGTCTCAGGATTTCAGATCAGGAATACAGAGACAGTTGGCCCATCGTGTCTGAAGCAGAACCCTGGACACGGAGAAGGCAGAGAGTGCTGGGACCATCAGGTGCGGGGCTGTGAGAAGCTTTGTGTGAACACTATGAGTACAAGAAACAGTGGGGAAAAGAAAAGGTCATTAGAGAAGGGGGTGAGGTGGGTGAACTTGTGCAAGGATGGAGTGGCAGAGGCCAGGACAGAGAGTGGCCAGCCCCCCGAGCCGGCAGGGGACAGATGACCCAGCGTGACTGAGATCACAGGACGCTGATTGCTACAACCTGCATTGGTTGCCGTCACCTCCCAGGTCCCCAACTCTGGCACAGGCCCGGGATGCCTGGCGTCCCCTGTTCCCGGGTTCCGTGAGAGTCATCTCACTTTGATTTTCCAGTGCAACATCTGGTAGGATAGTCGTCGGTTGGGAATCTGCTTTCACTTCTAGACGGCTCCTGGACATGAGTCTAGAGATTCTGGGATCTGCTGACGCCCCGAGATCTTTCTTCCTCCCTCCCTTTCAGAAACAATTCTCGAGAAACCAACTAGCTTGGCTCAGTCTCTCCGAAATCCTGTGGCCTGCAGCCTTTGGAACTGGGTTTATTTATTCATTTGAATTGGATCCTGACATTTCTTCGTGTTTGTTCTCTCCATAAAGACCTTTTTTTTTTGGGTCCTGGAGAGTTGTTTACTGCTAGCTCATGTGGCATGAAGATTGTGAGGACCTGGAGGCCTTAACGCTTGTTACTCCCCAGCGACCTCTGCCCTCCAGGGAAACAGGCAGGGCTCCATCCAGATAAGAACAGCCCTTTCCAAACAGGAACGACCTCACTCCCCAAACGCAAAGAGCTTAGAGATTAAAAATGCAGGCAACCTCCTACCCACTCATCCCAGGAAGGTGCAGAGTCCTAGGGACCCACTGGGAGAGGCCTGGATTGTCATAATTAAAAGTACTTTTAAACGAGCATTTTGAAGTCTTCTTGTTCTTGGTTTAAAAAAAATTAAAAAGCTGAGAAGGTTGAAACTGGGTAAAGGGGCTTTAGGCGTGGTGAGATGAAGGTCCCGGTGAATTTTGGAGAGGGCTGTCAGTCCCAGGCTATGGGCAGAGGCTGGCTGGACCAGGGGTCCCGAAAGGAGTGGATGGGTCAAAAACAGACAAAGGAAACATGGGTCACTCACATGAGTTGCAAAGGGAAGGAGAGAAATCAAACAGTCCGTCGTCAAACAAATCCAAGGAAAGAGATGTTTTAAAGAACTGAGAAGAACCAAGCATCTTTGCAGATAGAAGGGTTTTGTAGGGAAAGAGGGGAAGATGTTTAGGAGGAGGGTTGAGAAAGAAAACAAAACTTGGAAGTAAATGAAAAAGGGTCAGACTCAAGAACGGGTGGAAGGGTGGAATTAGAGATGAAAAATAACATTTGATTTATTGACCGAAGGGTTTTGACGCCGTGGGCAGGGCAGCGAGCGTTTTGCAGGTAATACTCCTCATCGCATCTCCCTGACATAGACAATACTATAGTACCCATTTTCCAGGCTCTCTCAGCTGTTACAGGCATTCTCCTCTCCTCGAGGAGAACAAGGCTTACAGAGGTGGGACCCATCCGTGACCACACTGGGCAGATGCAGATAGGATCTCATGAGTTGTCCATTAGAGGAGAACAGCTCATCCTCTGAGGGTAGAGGAAGGATGTCCTGGAGTAGCAATGTCCAACAGAAATAGAATTTGAGGCCAGGCACGGTGGCTCACACCTGTAATCGCAGCCCTTTGGGAGGCTGAGGCAGGCAGATCCCGAGGTCAGGAGTTGGAGACCAGCCCGGCCAACATGGTGAAACCCCGTGTCTACTAAAAATTAGCTGGGCATGATAGCACACACATATAGTCCCAGTTACTCAGGAGGCTGAGGCAGGAGAATCGCTTGAACCCAGGGAGCAGAGGTTGCAGTGAGCCGAGATTGCACCACTGTACTCCAGCCTGGGCAGCAGAGCAAGACTTCATCTCAAAAAAAAAAAAAAAAAAAGGCCAGGCACAGTGGCTCACACCTGTAATCCCAGCACTTTGGGAGGCCGAGGTGGGTAGATCGCCTGAGGTCAGGAGTTTGAGACCAGCCTGGCTAACATGGCGAAACCCCGTCTCTACTAAAAATACAAAAATTACTCAGGAGGCTGAGGCAGGAGAATTGCTTGAACCCGGGAGGCGGAGGTTGCCGCGAGTCGAGATGGCACCATTGCGCTCCAGCCTGGGCGACAGAGCAAGACACCATCTCAAAAAAGAAAAGAAAAAAAAGAAATAGAATTTGAGCCACAGGTGCAAACTGTGTGTGTATTTTGAATTTCCTAGTAGCCACACTAACAAGGGTAAAAAAGAAACAGGTGAACAGGTGAAATTAATTTTAATAATGTATTTTCCTTAGCCCAGTATATCTGAAATATCATTTCAACACGTGATCAACATATACAAATTACTAAGGCGATATTTTGCATGATTTTTCCATACTAAGCCTTTGGAATGCAGAGTGTATTCCACACGTGCGGCGTATCTCCATGGGATCCAACTCCACCCGAAGGGAGAAAGCACTCAGTGGCCCCACAGGGCTGGTGGCCGCCATATTGGCAGGCAGAGAACTAGAGAATGACTCCTTCAGGAACTACTAAGCCGTATCTTGTGGTCATAAAATGAGGAATCTTCAGGTTGGCTTCAGGCCCAAGACTTGTTACATATTTTTAAAACTAAACTTTTTAATCTGAAATAATTTTAGATTTACAAAACCGTTGCATTCTTATGTATCTCAAACTCTAGAATCTACCTGCAGCAGCTCAGGGTACATCAGCTGGTCCACAGAGTCTGGCATATTCCGGGCATAGGACTTTTGGGGTTTTGAGAAGTCAGACCAAGGCTGACCCAATTACTTGGGTGATCAGAGTCAAAATTCCCCAGAAATTACTCAGGGTATTGAGACTCTATGGAATGTTCCAGAGTCCATGATAACACAGGGAGCTGTAAAATATCTAAGTTATGATTCAGTTTTCTAATTACACCATACTTCCTCTCTGGGTGAGCAACAGCTTCTCAGCTAACATTTACTCCCAAGGTGGTGGCTGGGGACTGGGCACAGGACAGGAGGCACCAAAACAATTGCCCTGTGTCAACAGCCTCTCTGGCCTGAAGTATCTGTCAGCTCCCGACTGACTGCAGCCACCCTGTCCAATAGAAACAGAATTCAAGTTGCCTATGTAGTTTTAAATTTTCTATTGGCCACTTGAAAAAATAAAAAGAAGTAGGTGAAGATAATTTTAATAACATATATTCCTTAACCCAGCACATCTAAAATATTACCATTTTAACAGGCCAACAATATTAAAAAATACGAATTAGATAGTTTACATTATTTTTTGGTACCAAGTCTTTGAAATTCGATGTGCATTTTATACTTATTTGTATGTCAATTTGCATGTTATATGTTAACAGAAAATGTGTAAAGTTATGTACATTTTATGATTTATTTAAAAACTGTAAATTCCATAAAAGACTCCCGTCACAGTTGAAAAGCTAGATTCACCTTCTAAAGTTGTATCAAACATACTTCAAAAGTTTCCTAACAACTGAATCAAGTATCAGTTTTTGAATTTAGGTTGATTAAAATTAAATTAAACTAAAAGTCCAGTTTCTCAGTTGCATTAGCCACATTTCAGGGTTCAATAGCCACATGTGGCCAGCAGCTACCATATTGGACAACAGCCGTTAACACACTGGATGCCTCCTGTTAACATTGGATTTCTTTTTTCAGCTCCAGCTGTCTCCTTGACTCTAACTTGTCCAAGCAAATGTTCAGACTTGGTTTTCTCATCATCTCTTTGTCCTCGCTTTGCACTTTTCACCCAGCGAGGGCTTTGCCAATATGGTTGGCTTGTGTCAAGGACTTCCGCTTCTGAGATGGAGACTTGTCTGGGGCACGGCTTGCCTTTGTTTTTCTAGATCCCCATCAACATCGGTCCTTGTGGAAACTACTCAAGAGGCCATGATGTAATTTGCAGGTCCTCTGCCCTTGGGAGGAGCACAGAAGTTGATGAGGGAAATTGTTCTCTATGGTGCTGTCCTGATTTTTTTTTCCTATCCCCTCCTGAGCATTTGAACTGTAAGCCACTATTTCCATGGCGATGCTGTGAGTGTGTTTATCTTGGCGTCTCAGGGAGGGGAGTCCTCCCAGCCTTGGTCATGTGGCTCTCAGAACAACACACCTGTTTTCTGTTTCTGGTGGTTGATGGGGACTTGCTCACTGAATTTTGGGTCTTCTTTAAGTGCCTAAATTAGAGTAAGCAAATAAATAACAGGAGAAAGGGAGTTTTAGAAATTGTATGTGCAAACCACTAAAATTTAATATACAAATTCCTCAGCCACAGATATTTTTCTAGGGAATTTGAACACAGCCATAAGAAGTTTTTCTTCCTGGCAGGAGACCACCCTGATCTGTTTTCAGCCTAGGGGGCGATGCACAAGAGTGTTGGTGCTATGACAAGATAACGGTTCCCAATGTTCTTAAGGAGTTTTTCCTCTGGAACCCCTTGTGGCTACCTTAGGGTATTTCAAGCATTGGGGCATTCTAAAGTTGGCTCATTTGTGTGATGGTAGTCATGATGGTGGTGATGATGGTAATGATGGTGGTGATGACAGTGATGACCCTGATGATGGTGGCAATGGTGGTGGTGATGGTGATGATGGAGGTGATGATGGTGATAGTGGTGATGGTGCTGATGGTGACAGTGGTGATGGTGATGGTGATAGTGATGATGGAGGTGATGACGGTGATGGTGGTGATGGTGATGATGGAGGTGATAATGATGATGATGGTGATGGTGATGGTGGTGATGGTAATGATGGAGGTGATAATGATGGTGATGGTGATGATGGTGATGGTGGTGATGGTGGTGGTGGTGATGGTGATAATGGAGGTGATGATGGTGATGGTGGCGATAGTGATGATGATGATGATGATGGAGGTGATGGTGATGATAATGGTGATGTGGTGGTGATGGTGATGGTGGTGATGATAGTGGTGGTGATGGTGATAATGGAGGTGATGGTGATGGTGGTGATGATGGTGGTGGTGATGGTGATAATGGAGGTGATGATGATGGTGGTGATGATGGTGGTGGTGATGGTGGTGATAATGGAGGTGATGATGATGGTGATGGTGGTGGTGATGGTGGTGATGATGGTGATGGTGGCAATAGTGATGATGATGATGATGATGATGGTAGTGATGGTGGTGGTGGTATTGATGATGATGATTATGATGGTATGATGATGGAGGTGATGGTGATGATGGTAGTGATGGTGGTGGTGGTATTGATGATGATGATTATGATGGTAATGGTGATGATGGAGGTGATGGTGGTGATGGTGGCGGTGGTGGTGGTGACAACTGGATTAATTAACTGGAACCCAGAGCTACCAGAGGACTGCATGGAAAAATCTTTTCGCAATTCATGTTATCTTTCTGGACCTCAGATTTCTTCATGAGTATGACAAGGCCTCTCCCCAGATATTCTCTAGGGTCTTTAACATTTTATTATCCCCAAACTGCAATGCTCTGTCCTGGTGATGGTCATCATGACAATGATGACAATACTAAGAATTAAAGTGATGCAGAAGAATCATCAGGCATGATAATTCGCCAAAAAAAAATATCTAATGATGTTAATTTTTGACTTTAAAATTTATGTTGTGGCTCTTGACCAAACCTATTCATGTTTTCACTGTATAAGAAAACTCATAGGTGAAACTTCATTTTCCTTTTTAACTGTGAAGAATCACAGGTAGTAGTATTGCATGTTCGTTCCTTTTTCAAAAACCCACAGGATTCATGTATTCATTTGGCAAGCATTTAGTGAGCACTCACTGTGCCAGCCACTGTTTTACACCCTGAGGGTACAGCTGTTGAGCAGACAGGCTGGGGGCTTGTATTCACATCAGGGAAGACAGAAATAAAGAAGTTGATCAACAAACCAGATCACTTCAGATAGTGAGAAGTGCTGCAAGAGAAATTAAACAGAATAAAGTGACAGAAAGTAACCATGGGACTTTAGTAGATCAAGTAGGCAGGGAAGGCCTTTTGTATGTTTAAAATGAAAAGTGAACATTGAGAAAGATCCACCCATGAGAAAGCAAGGGAGAGCACTCCTGGCCTGGGGGATAGTTAGCACAGAGGCCCTATGGGCATGCCAGGACATCTGGTTTTCTGTCCTCTCCAGTCTAGTGGGCCACTTTTGTTAAGCCAGCCTGGTGATTTAGGCAAGTGTTTGTTGGTCTACTGTAGATAACAACTGGGGCTTAGCCGCTTCTTCTTGCTGGTGGTGGCAGCAATGACAATAGTGATGAGAGCTCCCTGAGGTGGTGGTGATGAGTTCCCTGCGATGCACGCTGTCCATGGTGACAGGTCATGTCTTTCACTTGTGTATCTCCAACTCAGCGTTTAGCTCAGGAAATGCTTGCGTAAGTGGAGGTAGATACTGTAATTAAGGAATTAACTGGAAACCAGAGCTACCAGAGGATTGCATGGGAAACCAGACATAGGTCTAGAGCCCAAGTTAAAAAAGAAAATTAAAGGCTGACCATACAGAAAAAGAGAGGGAGAAACTGCGTATTTATGCCGGCCAGTTTACCCAACCACAACCCTCCCAGAACCAGGAAAGGATATGAACACAGTGAATTCCAGCTCATGGAGTCATCAATGCAGTATCTCAAGAGTGATAAAGTGATCAGGCAAACAGCCAGGCACACAATTGAAAGACTGGGAATTTTCTATGGTTACCAAAGGCCCTCCCAGTGGAATTTCTGTTTAGTTTCTTGGGATTTGCCAAGTATTTTCCAGTACTTTAGTTATTTGCATATTACCTTCCACATTTTTACTCTATCAATGTCACTGATAAAATACCTATTACCAGTCACGTACCCTATATAACAGAGATCAGCACGCTTTTTCTGTACAGGGTCAGAGGTCCAACCTCACCCATATTATTACCTACAAAATATATTAAGGACTCACTGTAAAAAGATATATACAATAAATTAATTTAAAGGAAAACTTCCTACCACTCCCCTAAATGGAAAACCAGGAGGCCTTGCCATGAATAAACAACTGCAAAAGTAAATTCTATGAAAACAAAACACAGTTATTAAATTCCAACTGGAAAAATGAACAGCCTGAGGCTTAACTTTTCTTATTTTAAAAAAAAAAAAAAGGAAAAAAGGAAAAATTAGGAAGTCCTCAGAGGCATTAAAGACTCATTTGCACCAGGCTAAGTCTTTCTCTTTGCAATAACCAGCAGGATTAAAGCAAATTGGAAGGCGAATGGCTTCTCCACGAGGTGGCTTGATCTCATTTAAGTCCATTCCGTTTTCCACGTGAAGTCATCTTGCTGCCCTGACAGCAGTGCCTGTTTCTGAGAAACCCTGGTTTCGTTTATCGTAGAGGTTAAACTCTGACAAAGATGGGAGGCAGCCCCCCAAACCACACAAGGAGGTCAAGGCTGATCACCTGCCAAGAGGCAGGGCAGCCCTAGGAGGACGGCCCCCACCCCCACCTCCGCCCTAGGCAGTGTGCCTGGGGCTTAGACAGCTGCCCTCGCTGATCCCATAGGGAGGAAACTAAACACTCCTGCTGAATTACTGCTGGTGACAGGCTGTGATGTGAGCCCTTGCTGAAAGGATGACCCAGGACGCGTGCCCACCCTGGCACCTGGATGATTATAAAAAGCCAAATCCGACTCACTCTGCTCTGGTCTGCCCAGCAGTACACACTGTCTGGACTGCACTGGTAAGTCCTCTATCTGCCTCTCCCCCGACCTGTCAGGGCCCCAGGGGGGAGGTGGGTAACCAAGCAGCAGGGGTCGTAAAGCCTGAGCCCCGGGGACCCAGCTGATCCCAGGGAAGGAGGGGCCAGGGTTTCCCTAGGCAGTGCTGGTGCCCCTAAGTTTCATCCGATCTCGGAGATAATAAAGCAGGGCTGCAAGACAAACAAGGCTAGACTGCAAAGTAGAAGGTGTGTTAGCTCAAGAATTATCAGCCACTATTACCGTGAGTGAGTGAAACACTTGAGTCAAAGAGCAAATTCAGGTGCTCAGCTCTCGCATGCTGTGCAAACAGGCGGGGCACAGGTGGAGGCCCAGGAGACACGTGGGCACCAGGCCTCCAACGCAGCCCGCCCAGAGCCGGAGAGGCCCCTGGAAGGTTTGTGAGGCTCATAAAACCGGATGTTGAAGATTTCGCAGGGCTCCAGAGGGAGGGTGCAGCCTCAGGAGCTCTGAGACTCCTACAGAGTCCCTCTGCCTGCTCAGGGATCTTGTGCCTCTCAAGCTAGTTCATCCCATGGGGAAAGCAGGAGACAGAGGACAGCAGATGCCTTTGATGTCAGGCACTCATCCCCTGGGCACTCAGGGCCAGAAGTGCCAGGGACTGTGTGCCTGCTCCCATCAGGAGGAGCCTTGAGTGGTGACCGACAGAAGTTGATCCCTTAGGGAAGCAACTCCAAGGCGTGTTCCTCCCTGTCTTCCAGGTTTCCTTACTGAGATGGAGCCTCGGCGGCCCAGTAGTAACCAGCTCCCTGATGCATGCTTTCTTTCCTGCCTCACTCCCACTGCTTCTCTCTGGGAGTTTCCTGGAATCATGTCCCAAAATACTCCTCACCCTCAAATCCTCAGCTCACAATCTGCCTCTGGGGGAATCCAGCCCAAGCCAGGGTGTTTCACAAGTAAACACAAAAATATCCTGAGACAGCAGTCGACCAGGGCTGCTGCTAGCTCACCCAGTGCCTTTGCACAAGTGAAAGGAGGGCATCCCTTCCTCTGGTGGACCCAGAGCACATGTTAGAGTGCAGAGTTTAAGGAGTAGAGCATGGATGCATTCGGCTCCCATCGCTCTCCTGAGCTGGAACACCCTTGGACAGCGAACAACCTGCCCAACCATACATGACATCTCTACGTTCTTAAGCTAGGTGAAGAGCTCATTTTCTAGAAGAACCGAAGTGATTTTGAAAGAAATTAAAAATAACTAGAAAAATCCCATTGTGTTGGTTTGAAATCAGAGTAATTGGTATTAACTCATGGTAACACATACACACACATGTATACACACACAGATGGATAGATGTATAAATGCAAATGTGTGCATGCATGACTCCAACACACCCAGAAGCAATGACATCCCAACAGTGAAGAGCACCCTTGCACTCAGATCTTGGTTCCTATGCACCATTCTCCAACCAAGGAACCAGTGAACATTTGGAGAAAGGGCTGGTTTCAGGACTGGGATGGGGAAAACAAAGATGAGTCCATACTGTTGGAAAGTAAGGATGTACCAAAAATAATGATAGCATCACATCAAAAGGGCATTGCGGAAAACTACAAGAAGTACCCAAAGCCCAAATCTGAGAATATTCAAGCCAAGAAAAACAAATAACGATAGTAAGGGGTATTGCCCAGAGAATGAAATAAATATCCATGAGTCCATACTGCTATAAATAAATGATTGATCTAATAGATAGGATGGGGAGAACACACAGCTCTTCCTTATGGTAGAGTTCTAATGAATGAGTGTAGGAGAGATGATGAAATAGAAAGTCATCATTAAGCAAATCTGACAGTCTTAATTGCTGCAGGCAAGAATCACTGATGCATGCTAAAACCATCAAGTAAAAATATGAAGAGAAAGGGGATATTTGAAAGTTCTCAAGTATCTCCCCATAAGATACTTATTACATACAGAGAGAAACCTGGCAGATGCCACCTTAACAAAGATCAATGTCTCCAGTGAAAAGGTGATAAGGTTGACATCACCCCTGGTAAGATGGATTGAGGACATGACATCGCCTCCGTGGCATTCTTGCATAACCTCAATGTAACCATAAAAAAACATCTGACATAATCGAATTGAAGGACTTTCTACATAATTGGCCAGTATTCTTCAAAAGCGTCAAGGTCATGAAAGATATAGAAAGACTGACCACTGGCTGATCTAGGTTGGTCTTGCTGGGACAACTGGGGCCACTCAACACTCCTCCATGTGTCCCTTACCCTCCAGCAGGCCAGCCCACAGACATTCTCAAGAGTGTGGCAGAGGGCAAGAGACCAAGCAGAAACATGCAAGGCCTCTTGAGACTCAGACATGGAGGGTGCTGCAAAGTTGACGCAGGAATCAGAACTGCAGGGAGTTATCATTGCACACCCCCTGAAACGACTAAGTTTAAAAAGACTGACAATAGCAAGTGTTAGCAAGGATGTGGAGCAAGTGGAACTTGCATACACTGCTGACAGGAATGCAAAATGATAGAGCTTTGGAACGTAGTCTAGCAGAACTTATAATCAAACATAAACTGACCATGCGACCCACCAATTGCTCTCCTCAGTGTTCACCCCAGAGAAACGAGTTATGTCTGCACAAAGACCAGTATGCAAATGTCTATAGCACTGGGCTGTCTTTTCACAATCACCCCAACAAAAACAACTCAGATGTCCACCAACGGGTGAGTGCATAAGCACATTGCAGTCTATCCACCCTACAGAATCCTGCTCAGCAACGAAAAATAGTGAATTACCAATGCACACAGAACATGAATGAGTGTAAAAGCGTTATGGAAGGGAAAGGAGCTAAACTCAAGAGGAGACATTTATAGAAAATGCTACACAAGGCAGAGTGATAGCAACAGAAAGGTTTGTGATTGCCTGGAGCTGACGGTCAGGGTGAGATTTGATTGCCAAGGGGCACGGGGAACTTTTGGGGGCCTTCTAAGTGCTCTCGATCTCATCTGCGGTGGCCGTTACATGACTGTATACAATCATCAAAATCCATCAAACTTAAATAAAGCCCATTAAACCTGGAAAAAGTAAGTTACATAGCAAAGGGTGCGGCTAGAAAAAGGGGGTGAAGAATTGGGGGCATTCGGGCTCTGTCAGAGGGGACACAGAACCCCGCTAAGATCTCCCTAAGAACTGTGAGTGCATGGACCCCAGGACAGAAATGGCTTGAGAAAGGTGGG